GATCTGCTGCAACATTTGAGCGAAAATCCGGAGGCACGCAAGATCTCGTCCATCAAACCGCAAATACTAAGATAACTCTTTAGGTAAATGAATTTGTAGACCGCTTCCAGCAGATGCCCTGAAAGGGTGAGAGAAGGAGGTGTACTTGTCCAGTCCTGTAACAGGACCTTGCATTTGGAAGGGGGCAAAGGTCAACCCAAATTGGGAGGCGAGCATCTCTAGCCTAAGCATCACATGCTGGACGGCCTGGGAGGACTCGCAGACCACAGCGATGTCATCTGCGTACTCCAAGTCCCTTAAGTGGTCACCTGGGAGCAGTTCGACGCCGCAGGATTCAGAGTTTTCTAGGACGGTATACAGGATCTCGTTAATGGCGAAGTTGAACAAGAATTGAGAGGTTGGGCAACCCTGTCTAACACCACTATTGATATTGTAAGCAGTCCCAAAGAGCCACTCTGTCAACAGTTATACGCGACTCGAATGTCCAAGAATACTCCTATGTCCCAAAAGTAACTGTACTGATTCCCCTACGTATTACTGAACCAACTAACACGTCATTGGTACATATAGACGCATCGACAGAGATCTTGTCTACCTATCTAGACTTGTTTTAACTCGATCGGCTGAATCATTTCAGCGCTACAGCAGTTTGTGTAAGGTCGCGATGGAGCGAAATTTCGAACAACGGTGCGCTATCAAAATGTGTGAAATTCAAGCAGTCTGCCAACGACAAGCTTATAGAGGTACTATACTATCGAGAAATATGGTTTTTAGGTAGCACAAAGTTTTCACAAAGCGTCGAGCAAATGTTGAAGATGAACCTCATTCCGGAAGACCACTTCTGTCAACAAACGAACAACATGTGGAAGTTGTGCGACCTCTGATGGCGAAAGACCGCCGATTGAGTGTCAGGATGATTGTAGAAGAAACTAGCTTGGATAAAAATGCAGTTCATTGCATTCAAACAAACAAAGGTGTCTTGGAACGGCTTCGAAAACAGGTCAAGCAAATCCGAAGGGGCATTGCAGATGATTGAGTGCTGCACCACGATAACGCGCCTGCTCACACAGCGCTTTCAGTTCGAGAGTTTTTGTCGAGCAAAAACATCAACACACTACGACAACCTTGCTACAGTCCTGACCCAGGTGCACGCGATTTTTACCTCTTCCCTATGTTGAACTCGAACTTGTGAGATCATCGTCATGGAACCGGGGAAAACATCAAAGGGATTGTAACTGATGAACTAAGCACTCTTACGAAAAGTGTTTTCCAGTACTGATACGATCATTGGAAAACACGTTGGAACCACCGTAACTTCCCAAGGGCTATACTTTGAAGCAAATAGCTTGTAATTTCAGGTGGGTCTTATATACATTTAAATCAAATACCAGTACACTTATTTTCGGGACACAGGGGTATGTTTATGGTTGGTCAACTGAACTTATGGTGGTGTTCATTTATCTGACGGATCGTAAAGACGTGATCGACGCAACTGCGACCAGGACGAAACTCAGCTTGCTCTTCACGCAGGTGCTGTTCTCGTATTCAGCTGAGCCCGCGCAAGAGTAGTTTTGATGCAACACAAATGAGATTGATCCCACGATGTTTGGATCATACGGTTCGGTCTCCTTTCTTGTAGACAAGTACGACATCCGCTAATTTCCAGTCGGATGGGATGGTTTCGGTAGTCAAAATCTGACGAAAGTGGGGTGTCAGTTCACGGGTGAGAACAGGACCCCCATATTTGAAAATGGCAGGAGGAAGTTCATCTGGACCAGGTGATTTGTGGCGCTTTAGCAGGCGAAGCTCATGGAAAACTTCGACTTCAGTCGGTGAAGAAACATCCACGGACTAGAGAGCACTGTGAATCCCGGAAGATGGACTCGGTTGTGCTGGTGGCCAGTTGAACTGATCCTCATAATGCCTCTTGTTATGGTACATTTATTCCAAACAGCTCAACTGCTTTATTTATCATAAGAAATTTGTTTATTCGATGATGGAACACATGCGGGAATTTTCAAATCTTAAGAACAATGCAAGCCTGTTCTACAAGGATATTTCTGAATGTCATATTTAATGTTCATTTGTGGGTAACCACCCACAAACTAGTGCACGAGCACGATCTTTGTTTATCCGCACCACTGTGATGCAAGCCTTTAAAAGCCATTAACGGGCATCTCACCGTCTACATGCTGTCCGCCGCTGATCGTTTCCCTACTGACCAGAAGTATAGACAACTCGAACTGTTTTAGCAACATTCAGGCTTCGTCTAGCTAGTCTTTAGTCACTTCTGTACATTTGAGATTACTGTCATAGAATTACGTTTTCTGGTATTTTTTGCTACATCGAGTTTTGTTCATTTTACCTAGGGAATCAAATTACGCGTTAAGTTATGCCCACAGAGTACACCGTTTCACCCATTGGCACTTAAACTTGACACCTCGTTGAAACATCGAACCGATGCTTTCTCATCTTTTGCGCACCGGACTTGAGTTGATCGCTGTTCGCGCTATCACCTCGATCACTTAGCAGAGACATTTGTGTTTAGCACTCGCCTTTCCATATTATGCTCACTTCGCTCCGCTCTGACATCCGAAATATAAGAAGTCATCAGCAGTACGCTTGTACGTAGTACCGACGCTTCGCTGTCGCGCGACCACCACCAGTCGCACATGAGCTAAAAATACTGCGAGATTCGTCCGGTTCCTGCGCAGGCTCTAACCCGCGCCCTCAAATTACAAGGCAGGTTTGTGATCCCTAAGGCTACGGGTCGGCCGAAATATATCGTGTGTAAGCCCCCAGTATTACTTTGCAACGTCAGATTTGTCCGAAATCGTAGGTCCGTATATTAGCTGACCCCCGGAAAAATCAACAAAAAGCGGAAGGAAATTGTTTCTCACGATTTTGACTTCACCACTACCAGCTCTCACTTGAGTGTGCTCAAGCGAAAGCTGCTCTACTATTGGCCAGTTTTGGTGACTTAACGTATTATGATCGCAGTTAATGAAGCTTATAGCCGTCAGAACAAAGATTTTAACCGCCCAACTAACGATATTCACCTTGACGTGTCAATGACAGACGACCCGTACCAGAAACTCTGTGGAGATTCTGACTCGGATTCTAGTTTCGAAGGATTCGAGTAATTTTAATACCATTATGCAGTGTTTGTATATGTGAGCCTATAAAAGCTACCGGTACGTGCTGTTATGTCATGCTTTTTCCCATGTTATTGTGTGTGATGATGTTCGATTCTGTATAATCAGTATGTTTCTGTTACTGCCATCTGTCGCGAAAGTCAAATGTGCAACTTACCTATAGGCACTTCAAATCCCTGCCTGGGATACCCTCTGTCACTAGCGAGTGGTGCTAAGACAAGATAGGGGCATAAGTAAGCAGTGAATTTCTGGGTGGATTTTGCGTGATTTTTGCAAATTGTGCATAACCTTTGTATAAGCCGACCCCCCCCCCCCCACTACAGACCTACAAGTGTCCGAAATTCCTCGGCTTATACACGGCACTCAAATTTTGTCACCACTTTATTGTCTGTGACACACCTTCAACACAGCTCTATATCCCAAACATTTGCCTTATTGCTCTTTATCGTTCTTATTTTCTCCATTACTGGTAGAGTTTATCCTTTGCTTCTCGATTTGGACATCTCAGCAGTTCGCCAGTGTATTAGACTCACTTGTTTTGATAACAAATCTGAGTTTACCGTTCTGATTCTCTCTCTAACTTTCTCAACCCGTTTTCATTCAACTCCAATGATTTCCACTTCAGATCGCAGCATGAATGTTCCTCCAATTCTCTGTGGTCTCAGTAGTCAGTACGCATATCAAACTTTTCGGCTCCTACTCTTATTTTCCATGGCATTCTCATTATACACATTAGCTAGAGGTGGGAAGCACCTCAGCTACTATGCCACAATACATAAAACAAAAGAATGAAACAGATGCAAGCCAGCTGTGCCACTGGTAACGGATGGGCATCGTTCCTGTAAGCTACCAGCCGGTTAATATGAAGCAAAAAAATTTACTATGCAAAATTATCTAAGGCTAAGTAGTGAGATCTCACTACTTAGTTTTATTTTCCATGGTGACTCGTCACAACCCCATTCAGTCAAATGATCACTGCAATCCAGCATAACATTGGACGGTCGTTTCGTCTTTTCAGGATTCGTCAGCAATGCGCATTTGATCTGTCCCCCACGAGGCTAGAACCCGTGGCTGTACGCTTACGCGTCCGTGTTTACGGGCATTAAGTCAGAGGCAGTCACTATGACGGAGTAACTAGATGTGTTATAGCGCGTTTACTCATCCTCCGCTGATAAACTTATTTCCAACATATGGAAGACAGGGTTGGTCCCTTAGCCATAACTCCTCGTGCTGAGTCACGATCGTCCGGCCTCATTTAAGCTAACTTACTAAGTCCTAGAAAGTGAATTGGAGATGAGATTAGATTCCCACTTGTCTTTTTGACCAACTCATGGTTCAATTCTTTTTTCACCTTTCGATCAGTACAACACTTTTACTCTGTTTTGAAGCGTGTTACTCACCAACTGTCTTCGTAAATTTGGTATTAACAACCTCCCCCCCTCCAGTACCTGCTATACTTACGAGCTGTATGCATCAACGTTAAGAATAGTTGGAGCGACGGTTTCTGCTCCATTTTCTCTCGAACAAGGATGGACTGCACGGCAACCCGTTCTGTGCCCGCTTCTCCGGAACGCCGTGGACCACTTGGTGCTTCGGCCGACTCAGGTTTTGCATGCTTTCATTGAAACTTTCTCATCGCATGGTCATGGTGTTTCATTTCCTACTTGTTTATTTCAGTTTTGCAATGTCCCAAGTGTGATCGTCGATTCACCAGACCGGGCGCTTTGTCCGAGCACGAACTCACTCATACTCCCGGTGGTCCAGCAGCAAGACACCAGTTTGTCTGTCCTTACTGTCCCGACACATCGTCTACCACTGCCTGTTCACCACAAACAGTGGGGTCGGACACCCTATCTTCAGGCGCAGTTGCATTCACTTTGAAACGAAATCTCCACGCACATCTGCGTTCTATTCACGCCAATCTCGCTTATCCGTGCACTTGGCCTGGGTGTCCAGTGCTCCTGTCAAGCAATGTAAGTGGCGCATTTTTTTGTCCACATTCGTTTGTCTTTCTCGCAGTTTCACCTGTCAGAACAAACATCTGTGCTCTGCGTGACATTCCCTTCCGTTCCATTTCCATGGTTTCTTGTCTCAACACACCTCTTAGTACCTTATTTCGTTCAGCATATCACAGTCTTCTACTGGATTGTCTTTAGTTTCTGAAATTAAAAGCTGCTAGGAAGTGCTTTCAGTCACTTATGTTTTGAAACCTCTGGAACTCTCTTTCTCCATACTTGTTCTACGCAAGGAGTCGGCCAGCACTTCGATACCGTAACCGCTCTCATCGCCCTTTGCATATGTCACTGGTAGTACCTGGGTTCATTGTGTGTACTGTATGACCGTATCGTAGCTGTGTAGTTGAAGTACCAGCCAATTGACGGTATCCAACAGAAGCCGTGTTTAGTTCACTGATGCGCCACCTCTGTACCTCCATTTTTTCGTGCTCTTCTTTACAGCAAAAGCTCAGTGAACACCTTCAACGCCATCGCACTAATCGGCCAGTAGCTCAGACTACCCGAGCTAGGCACCGCAGACAGCGTCATTCCAAGCAAAGTCGAGATCATACGCAAGTTTCAACCAAAAAACGGCCATCGAAGCACCTAGACGAAGATTATGAAACCGCCAGCCAAAGCAGTATCGTGGCATTGCTATTGGACTCTGGGGAAGATTTATCTGCTCAGGTTTGTATTATTTAAGCCGTTGGTCTAAAGTTTACTTCTTCAAGTTATCACCCATTGTTGGCATAAATTCAACACTGGCACAGATGTTAAATTCGTTTGCGCTTTACGTCTTTACAGGAATGCCATTGGGTTCCAACGGTTACCACAATTGACAGGCTTGCGTGAGTTATCGAGTTATGAACTTCGGCAAAATCAGTCGACTCCGCAGCACTTAGTGGTGTAGGCTACCAACTCACTCTGTACGAAGTCGCCATCGTCATTACACGTTAGCTGATAGTGAGAAACACTCTACGTATTGTGCGCAATGCAATTAGATGACATATATGAAAAGCGAGACACTAAAGATTACGGAACACAATATAAAAACCAGAAGACAAATATTATAATCTTGTGTGTCACTTGGAATAACATCGTGATTGGAGTTGGAAGCTAAGCGGGATGAGAAGGGACAAAAGAACTCATCGCTGCGTCAATTAGTCTGTCCAACCAAACGTGTTCATCGTCCTTAGAATCCCAGCCTTGCAATCAGAAGGCACCCACTGACGCCAACTCCGAAGTCAGGACTTTCATTCCTCTTTGCTAAGTCATCGCTTGGCTTCTCCTTCTTTTCTTTCATCCACACCCCACGGGCGCGCAAACAACGTTCGTCTCAGAACTCGATGTGCTGGCACGCGCAACACACGACCGAACCATCGGAGCCTGCTGTTTGATAAAATGGTACTGTGCGGTTCACTCGCTCTTCACCAAATACGAGACGCCGAACACGCTCATTGTTCACGTGGTGTCCTCACCCTACATGAGCTGAACTGCGAAGGCAGTAATGGTCGAATGTAACTAGCCTGTTTATTTCTGTCGATCTGATGGGCCAGGTTTCGCAACCGTGCAGGAGAATTGGACTCTGGGCTATATTGTACATTCTGCCCACAGGTGTCGAATTTTAACAAAAGGGCCCCGAGCTAACGCAGTACTGCTCGTGATCTCATCTTCTGTTCCACTGTTGTTAAAATAGCTGCCTAGATACTTCAATTTCTAGACGATTTCACCACCAAGAGTCATCGCAAGGGTGAGTCCTTACCAATCTTGGATAAGGACTTTGCATTTCAAGGATGCAAAGACTAGTCCGAAACGATTGACATCCAGTGCCGATTTGTCCAATGTTGCTTGCTGTTTTTGAGCTATCACTGGTTATGGCGATGTTTTCGACGTACTCTAAGTCAAGAAGTCGATCACATCGAAGTAGCTCCACACCTTCCAAGTCGTTCCCAGTGAACTTCTGACGAAATTCAATCAAAGAGACGACAATCGCTTGGGAGTGGAAAATGCCATCGTGCATTTCTACGGATCGCATATGAGATGCTGTTGCAAGACAGCTTTGTCTCCAACTTTGTCCATTCCATCTATCGACCAAGTGAACATATGAGTCATTTGTTCAGCCCAATTTATACTCTACATGTGGCAGGTTATGGGCAGACCTGTTGCTTTATGGATAACCCACCAGTTGCTCAGTCAAAGCTTGTACTTTTTATACAACTTTACTCCATACTCCGAAGCGCAGCGCACCGAGTCTAATGGTGACAAGGAACATTGCTTGTGGATCAATATGAATAGAAATGTTTCACTTTTTCACTGAAGGGCTGCCAACAGACGCACGAGATGGAGCGCATGAGTGCTAACAGCCTGTCCCTCAGGCACCTGGTTCAGCTCCACTTAAGGTGCGCACATCGGTTCATTCTAGGCATTTGAATAGTTCCTTCGCGCTGTTTTACCATGTCACCATCTACTCACCCATCATCGTCATCCTCCCTACGCAAACTACTGAATTGGGTTGTTAACTGGCATAGGAATTCATCCTCCTTCGGCTCCCACTATGCGTCTCTTGCTCTGCAGCTGATGCCGCGGCTTACTCACTCCATACTGGATCTACTCTGAACCCATCACTATCACGAATACCGCGCACCTTGCCCCCGCCAGTTTTCCTTGGCAATATCCTGGAGGAGGTAATCGTTGTAGCGCATCACATCGAACACCACCGAAGCTAGCATATAGCTCAGGGGTGAGTGTCAAACAGAAGTCAGTCATTCAATTGTAGACCCATTGAAACAACAACGCAAAACATACCCTTTGTCACCCCCAGCGCTGGCAAATAACAGCTCTGGTTCTCTCGTCAGCACTCGAGATTTACCACAAGCGTATACGTCTAACATTTTGTACTAAAACCCCTACTTATCCCCCACATTCCACGAATTACTCCTCATCGCAAATGACACGGTCTCGTCCATTTTTCATTTGTTCCTCTGTTGGAATAAGTATCTTTTCATATACCATGATCCTGTCATGCATTCAACTTTCAACAAAATGTTTAATATTTAGCTTCTTCCAATTCCTTCTTTCTTAGCTGATGTTGCACTGCTTTGGCTTTTTTTTAGCTTCATCCATCACATAACTTCAAATAAGTTTAGAATCAGATTCCAGATTCCTTCCTGACCTGGTCTTACAGCTGCAAGATATTAAGTGCAAATGATGTGTCAGCGGTACCCCATAACGGCGCTTCGCTGCCGCGCGACCACCACCAGTCACGCGCAAGGTAGCCAACGTGCTGCACAAGTTCGCAATCTTAATCAGATTTCACTTTCAGTAAGTGCCCACGTTTAGTAGCTACTCCAAGACATTTAGACGAAAGTGGTAATCTACCTATATTGATAAACTGTGAAGCCTCTTCCGTTCATGTAAATAGGTGACCGTCCTTCTAGAACCGTTTACAACATCAACCCTACGCTAGCCTGAGCTGTTTTTTGCATCTGCCCAGCTATGTTTCCTGGTTTTGTGTGAAGTTTTTCTGTGGATACCTGCGATTCAGGCGTTTAAGTGCTCTCCAGAGGAAACTGAGTGGCAAAGCCAATCATGAATAGACCCTTTGGGCCTGCCCTATCTTTTGGCATCCTATTCGCATCTTTAGAATTCAAAGTGCTGTTGGAATATCAACATCCTGCTAACCTAATATCTATTGACAACTAGAAAATGGAGGCAGTTGCGCGGTTTATTCACTTCTTATCAGCATTAGCGACGAGGGACGCCTGACTATTGAAGTTGGTTCACACACACCAAAGCTTGAACTACCTACATGAGTCTGCATTGTTTCTGACAGTGAGACTTGGTACCTTCTATCCGAGATGTCAAGCGCTTTTTTGTCTGACTATCGTTGCCTACTGCACGTCGCTGGTGTCGGATGTTACCACAGTGAGATTCACGTAGGAGCGTAGGGCGAAACTGATTATTCCGTTTCCGTAGTTCAAGAAATAAATTTGAATTAAATACGCTGGCTTGGACATTCGCTCGTCTCCGGTTACTGATGAGGATTTCCTTTCGTTTGCCGGATATGGGGTGGTATACGGCTCGAGGTGGGCAATCCTTGACTTGAAATTTGGAAATGATATCGTTTTCTTTCCGCAATCGCCTGTTTCCCCGCAGCGTGCTTTCTGTCATTTACAATGTGATCATTGTCGCTATCATTGGCTGAAAACATAATTGGTAACGGCTTCTCTTCCTCCGTTTTCGTACTGTCTCCCTCGAAAATGATTACAACAAGTGGGCTTTGATCACGATTGACCACAGCGCATTCCATACTTTCTAGCACACATGCATTTGTGGTGCTTCGCTGACAATGTGTATTGCTATTTCGTTCTTCGCTCCTTTCGTCGCTATTTTGGGAGCTAGATCTCATTCGCCGGCTTTCATATGGGCCTATCGCATTCCTCTATCTCCCGGAAGTGGTTGTGCTTTGTTGATATCAGCTCGGGTCAATTGTTTGTCCAGGGTTCAGCCGTGGGTGATCGGGAGTAATTACTTACAACGTTGACCGATTCACCGCCGACAACTAATAGGTTATCTTTCCGCCGGCCCTTCGTTCTGCCATCCTGCCGACCTCTTGGCTACCACCACGAATCTTCTTCACTGTTTCATCGTTTATATCAATATCATCGTCTTCCAGTAGAGTTGTTCACATCGCATCGTCTCGTGCCCTCTGATCGAACTGCTCTTTTAGATCTAGATTGACTACGTAATCTACAAATGGCACGTTTCCGTTCAAGTTTGTTGGCCTACTTGGGGAACTTACTTCTGCTCCATCCATGTCCCAATGCGAACCTGAATGGCGCTCGACTTCCCGACATCAGCAACACACCCAACTTGGGGGTTAGCTAGTCGTTTTCTGAGCTACTTCTCCAAAATGCTTTTGTTCGTCCTAGATGGAACGTCAATTACTATAATATCTACAAGCGGGCCAATTGTGCCAACTACCTATCGGACTCTTCTCCAATGACTTATGAGGAAAACGTTGAACTTCACTTACCCACGCAAAGAGATTCGTCCGAATGGTGCATAGATTTCTGCATTATCCATAAATTGGCTTTACGCAAGATTGGGAGTCACACCGGTTTACGGTTTCAGTGTCCACTGCACTGTAAACTTGCGTCTGATTTGTGGTCCCAGGATCGATCGGTGGTTTTAGAGAATGCCAACGGCCGAGATTTGTCAACCACATCAATTGAATGATGTTTGATCTCGTGTGAAGCACATACGCTAAAGGTGTACCAGTGAGTGAACTTGTAGATACTAAAAACAAATGGCTAATCCACTCAGCGCCACCGCACCGAGTGTTGTGTTGATCAATCCAGCTGCCCCGTGGCACTTCTCATTCAGTTTCCTTAATCATTTCTGAATTTAACAAATACGATGCCGTGTCGAAGAAATTCGATATGAGTTTACGTCGTGGCACCGGAGCGAAATATAGGGACTCAGCAATATTCATTCATCCGTTTTGAAAAATTGGGGCGATATACTGGTGGCGGATCTGATCACTCTATTCAGCGCCATGTGGAAAATCAAAATATGTCAGAGACGTTTGTCGTCAAATGTCATCCCCTTCCCTGCAAGTCCTTCAGAACGTGGAGAGTTTCTGTGCTGCTGCTGCTGCTGCTCTCGCTCTCTCAACACTGCACTGC